CCCAACTTAGTTTACTAACGTAAAAAAAAAAAAAAACAAATTTAAATTGGAACAGATGCAAGAGAGAAGTTTTATTCAAACTTTTTTCAAAACCTAAAATAAACATTTTTTTTCTACGCAAATTGTTTCATTAAATTCGCCGTATCATACAAACGTATCTCATACAACTTATATATAAAGTAAGTGAGTGTTGCTAAATTAATTAATATCGGATAAATATTACCAATATGCATCATCAGCAGACATTAATGATATTGCGAAAAACAATAATGTAATTTTCGTAATTTTAATGTAATTTTCGCTCTAATTAAAATTCCATCGAAAATCGCACTGCCATTTATGAACTTTATAATTTAATAACGAGAAATAAGAGTGAGGAATGCGATGAGCTTTCGATGAAAATTCTTCCGAAAGCATTTCGAAACGTTAATTACATATGTTGCGGTATAGCGACAGATAGATACGCGTTTCTGCGTCATCATTCACAATCTTGATGATCACGAGATAAGAATACACGCGTGAATCAATGCGTGACTGAAGTCCTTCCATTCTTGACACTCTTTTATCACTCTTTTATCGTTCTTGCATCCGGCTGGTATCGCGGGAGCGATAAGCGATCTCACGACGGCGAGGAACGTTGCCGTTGAGTTCGACGAACGTCGGCTGCGCTAATTGACGTAATTAATTGCAAACTTGATCGCGATGAAAGTAAGCTCGCTTACGTAAAGCCCGACGAATCGTCGGGATGCCGCGTCTGTGACCGACGACGAGCGAGAGTTCGCAAAAGCCGATAAAGATCGATCGCCTCACCTGCGAAATGGCAACAGCGAAATAATATATTTAACGATTTTAAATGTCGGATTTTTGTCGAATTTTTTTGCTTTATATATATATATATATATATATATATATATATATATATATATATATCAGCCAATAAAATTTAGAATCAGACAGCCACGTTTAGATCGCTAAACACGACGCTAAATATAAGAAGCGATATCAGTTTGAATCTGACTAATGCATTCGTGGTACATAATTATCTCTTCTCGCGTTGCGACGATAGTAATCTAGCGTTGGAATTTTTATGCTGGATAAAATATTGCGATCTAAAGCGACGTGTCAGCGTGGACGAAGGAACAAGTTGTTCTTATTTTTAATCATACTTCACATTTCTTAGCATGCGTCATTCGCGGGATAAATTTGCTCGACATGATATCGATTTCTAATAGACGTCTGAAGCTCGTTTATTAGACGCAGTCTCTTTATAACTTCATTTGCGTAGCATGGTACCTAGAAAGAGTGACATTCTATCGATCTCGAAACAATACAAAGTACAATGTAGAAATATATTTCTATTTATCTACGATTCTATCTACAATTCTATTTTTAAACTATTTTTAAACTTCTTATCGTAACAACTAAATCCCTTATCTAAAGCTTCTCAGCGATTAAAATTATTTCCACAAATGATACCAGCATATTTGCTTTTTAATAAAAATTAATAATTATACGACAGATATCTTCAATATCGGCGGTTATAATCTATAGATGGAGCCTACGAACGGAGATCTGTTATAACTTCGAACAAAACAGTTATCATATTGTTGAACCAGCTATCGATGCTATCCGCTGGTACCAAAATTCTCTGTAAAATATCGATTTTACATTTTATTAAAATAACTCATTTAAAGAAACATTTTGTCGATTTAAAATAATCGAGAAAAAAAAATGATGTTTCTTGAAAGCTTCTAAATCTTCTTTTCATATGAAATATATAACTGCGGTGTATTTTTTTTTTTTCAAACGCACAATTCTCTGTACCATGATTACCATGATATAATATTATCACACTATTAATCTTTCGATCAATACTTGAAAACGATCTCCGCGATAACAGCCGTTTATCAAGTTAATGCAGCGAAAAAAATAATCGGAGCAGAAAAGGCAACAATGAATTTCGAGAGATGCGAATAATCGATTTTTCAAAAGTGAATATTAAATTAAGAATTTAATAATTAAAATAGATTATCTAAATATAACTAATCACTCATCAATAATATTTATTTTAATATAGAAATAATATATTTATGAGAAGTTCTTGCAATCTGTAATTAATATATTGTAATAATGAATGTATAATTAACTATCAAGATTTTTAAAGAAGGTTTAAAGAGAAATGAGCAAAATCGTTTGTTTCATGAAAATGTTTATTTTATACGGTTAACAATACGTATCAGTTAAGATATATACGAAGTTATAAGCGCGTTTATTCATCGTTATAACGTTTATAAACAGCGATTTTCTATTACAAGCTAAAGAATAATGTCTCGTTAAGCTTTGTACTTCAAACCGCCTTTCAGTCTACGCCTGCGAGTCCCTAAAGCGTATTTCTTTAAAGAATCGCAACGGAGTAGACGTTGACGAAACTTTACGAGCGCAATAAAAAATAGCAAGGTAGATTCTACCGAAATGCTTTTTGTCAACGAAAATCAAGCTCAAAATATCTTTGTTAAAATTTAATGAATAGTAAAAAAACCTACATCGGACAATAGAATATCCATAAGAATTTTTTACGAACTTATACTTGATTGATACGTGAGTTTTAACCTACAACAAAGAACAATTTTATAAGGAGTTTTTAGTAAAAAACTTCGATAGTTCGCGATTATTTTCGAAATAGAGATGTGCTGAATAATAGATCTATCAAGCAATCGGATGGCGTAATTTAATAATTATTGCTAGCGAATAACTCGTTAATCGGCAAACGTAAAGAGACTGAAAAGGTGAATTTAACTGTTTGATAAATTATGGTAAAAAAAGAAATTATAATAAGAATTATATCTATTTTTTATTTATCACCGCAGCAGTCATTTATACAGAATCCAAAATCAGATTACTCCAAGATAATGCAAAAATTCGATTTCTTATAAAATATTAAGAAGAATATTTAGTAAACAAATAAAAAGCGTACAAAAATGAATTTAATTATTAAATTTTTTAAATTATTTTGCATTATATACATATTAATCAATAATTAAATATGGACAAAGGTATTTAGTTAAATTGGCCAAAATTAATGAAACGTCTTGAAACGTTATTATTCATTTGAAATTTAATTTTAAATATAACAATTATCTGACCAGACTATAGAAAATAACCGAATTGGATGCCTAATACTTGTTGAATATCCGACACATCTCTATTCCGAAGGGTGAAAGTTCACGAATACCTAAATTGTCTTCGTGGCATCCTGTACGATCTTGATTCTACTTCTCGATGATGATTTTTCAAATTGTGTGCGGCAAATCAGGGTTTATTTGGAGCGCTTCTGGGCCTCTTCGGGGTGACGTACTTGACACATATGAAAGCGAAGATGATCAGCACGGCAACGATAGCCAAGCCTATGCCCAGCCAAAGCTCCCCTCGTACGTTCAACTTGTCGAGGGCGACTTCGCGAAGAGCCAACGCGCCATCGGGCGGCTCGCACGCCGCCTGAATAATGATGTCCTGCCGTTGGATCTGCTTGGGTTTGCAATTAGCCAATTTCCCCACGCTCTCGCTCTTGTACAGCCGCGGCAGCAGCATCGACATTGACCATTGCATCGGGTTGATTTGCTGATACCACGACGGCAAATTGTCCAGGTGCAAGGTCGCCCCGCCAGCCAGGATCATCTCGCCCAACACTACGCCGCCGAGCAACGATGCCAAATAAGTCCATTTGATCACATGCGCGAAGAACTTGCAGATGAGATGCTGCAGCATCAGATGCAGCAGGCCGACGATGAGATAGTTCCACAGCGACGTCAGATTCTCATCCGGCACGAGATGCAACCCCGACATCGCAAACGCTGGTGCCAAATATATCAGGTAGATCACGCACCACGACGGCACACTGCAAATGAGCTGAAACCAAAATGAATACGGCACTTTATACCTGTTATTAGAATAAAAGTCAAAGCTTCAGAAATCAAATGCGAATTTTCCTTGTCTATATTATATTTTATTCTGAATATCATAAAGCAAAGATTTTTTTAATGGATGAGAAAATTAATTACCGCACAATTCGAGGAAATGTTCTATTAATCACAAGAAAAATGCTTATTAAGTGTAAGGAAACAAGTGTAATGCAAGAATACAAAAGTTTATGTTACTAAATACATAAGTAAATTGATATAAGTTTTATAAATGTGTAAATTAGTAAATGGATTCAGATAATACAAGATGTCTTTAATGAAATATACTTTTAATTAAATTTAGTTAATTAATTTTATAAATAAATTAATTTTTTAGTTGGATTTTTAATTAAAATATATTTTAATACATATATATATATATATATATATATATATATATATATATATTATTATA